ATCAGAGGCAGCAGGCAGCCAGGATCCACGTGGCCTGGTCCAGGTCACCATGGAGCTAATGAAAAGGGGTTGGGACTCTGCCAGCTACAAGATCTAGTACGGAGGAGCCAAACGATGTGTTTTAAACTACCTCGAAATCTGTGGATGTTTCCTTCACCTTTGAAGATCATTTCAGCCCTGAGCTAACCACCAGTAACCCCACGGAAGCCTAATACCAAAAAGCAGTAGAGGAGCATAATTTCCCAGCCGATTCCGGCATCCCGCTCCGCTGAAACCCATCTCACTGTAAAACTACAGGATAGTGCATGTCACGTATTTCTTCCCCATGTGTATTTGGAGTTATTTTGGCAGGATTTCATGAGTTTCTTGATTCATGTAAAGGATGGTAGCCATAATGTTGATAGAGTGACTACCACCCCCATGTAGATAAAATTAAATGTCTGAGCTTATCCTAGCCATTCAGTAAATATTTACTGATTCCAGCTATCTGTGTGGCACCCTTCTACATAACAGAGATCGATGGGAGATATGCAAAGTTCTTGTTCAGTGAGGTTCGTCTAAAGAGCTGAGACAGTAGCCATATAATCAAGAAGAAAGAAGAGAAGGAGGGAGAAAAGTAAAAGGAAGGAAGGGAAGGAGAGAGTAAAGGAAGAAGGAAGGACATTTCTGGCAGTGTTAACTAGTAGGAAAATTAAAAAGGGCAACGTGATTGACCATACTCAGCATGTGTCTGCCTGACTAGTGCTGTGTCACACACCACTCAGATACTTAGCGACTGAAAACGATGTTGTGTTTTGTTTACAGGTTTTGTGATTGAGAATTCTGGAGGGGTTCAGCTGGGTGGTTTGTCTGTGATCCACACAGTGGCAGCCAGGACAGAAACATCCTCTTTGAAAAACAGCTTTTTCAGGCACAGGTCGAGGATGCAGGCTCCCTCCCTCCCTCCTTAACCTCTTCCTCCTTTCCTCTTTCCACGTGGCATTTCACCATTTCCTCCTGTCTCTCAACATGCCTTCATTTCCTTACAGTGTGGCAGTCAGAGAGCAGTCACACTGATTACATGGTAACTTGCTTCTCTAACTGTGAATGACAGTTGCCAATCCCTAAAGGCCGGGGCCCAGAAGAGACTAGCAACTTCTCTATATGTGAGCCGTCACAGAGCCCACCCAGACTCAAGGAGATGTTCCGTGGGCCCCCAGCCCTCGATGGAGAAGTACCAAGGCACACAGGCCATCTTTAACCTAGCACAGGGTCTCTGACATAATGTTGAGTGACTGAAGAAGCTTCTCACGGGAGGTGACATTTGAACTGACTCCTGAGTGACAAGAAGAAACTAAAATGATAACTTCTAAGAGCAGACCACGCTGGGCAGAGGGAACAGCAAACACAAAAACCTGAGGCATAAATGATTGCTGTATTTGAGAGAAGAGTGAAGGCTAGTGCAGCTGGAGCTTGAAGACTGGAGGGAGAGACTGTGAGGAGGTGAGATAGTAAAAGTAGAGTCAGTTGGCCATGGGTGGGACTGGGATACTATTCTTAGTGTAAGGGAAGGCATAGGAAGCTTTTGAAATTAGCATGAAGTAATTTACATATTTAAAGGATTACAGAAGTACCAGAATAGCAGTTGGAAGAACAGTTAGGAGACTATCACAGTAATTCAAGTATGCGATGATGATGATTTAGACTCACTTGATTCCACTGAGGGCAGATTTAAGATAAATGTGGATATAGGTATAGGTACAGGTTTAGGAATAAGTGTAGGTATAGGTACACGTATAGTTGTAGACGTAGGGACAGATTTAGAGGTGGACCTATATATGTATGTATTTAAATAGAGACTTAGATATACATATGCACATAAAAATCAATATGGAAATATTTATAGAATGAGATAGAGATGGAAATAAAGAGAGAGACACTGACATAGAAATAGAAAGATAATAGATTTAAGGATAAGGTATATAGAGACAAAGATATGCAGATATATTTAGATACAGGTAGAGATAGATATAAATGTTGAAGTAGACATGAGTTTAGACAGAGGTAGAGACACAAACGGAGGTAGATAGACATTTGAGATGGACACAGTAGAGTTTGTTAGGGGATTAAGTAAGACAGCAAGGATGCAAAAGAATTCAAGGATGACGTAAGCACCTGGATGCAGAGTAGGGCTGGTGACTGAGTTGGAGGAGACTGGTTTACGGAAATTATTCCACTAAAGAGGTAAAATTGGCTCCAGAACTCCTCTGAAATCAGAATTGCTGGAGGGGGTCGTGTCACCCTGATTTGTGTCCTCTTCCCTCTCACATGAACGCTCTTCTCTGCCTCTGTCTTTCATCCTAGCGTTTCTCACCTCTGGAATATAATGACTGGGACAGTGTCACAGCTTTGGAGCAAGAGAGGTCTGTATTCAGACAAGGTGGCTGCCATTTACAAGCTATGGACCACGGGCAAATTAACTGGCTCCTTTAAGCTTCAGGATCTTCTACTTCAAACTGGAAATAACTTTACCCACCTCCCAGGGCTGCTATGAGAATTAAAAATTTTAAAAAATATGTAAGATGTATTTAGTGCTGTGTCCAGAACCTAACAGGGCTCAAGAAATGTTCATCTTTTCCTTATTTTCCCAAGCCTTTCAAAATCCTACTTGTTTACTAAGAATCAATCTTTCTTAGCTGCTTTGTGAAACTTTTTAAATCATTGCCACTCCTCAAAGTATCATTCCATAATTATTCCCATTGAGCTAATGCAACTCCCTGATTAAACTGTAATTTCCTTAAAGGCAGCAATTGACTATGACACAACCTCTTTTTTCCACAACATCCAGCACAATGCTGAACACTCCATAACTATATAAAATAAAACCCTATTTATTAAATTCTCTTTTTTTCTTTTGGTATATTAAGTAATTCTCCAACATTGAAGTTCCAACGAGAAACTGAATCTAAAAATGATTTAATACATAGTTTCATGGATTTTCCTAATTAAATAAGCAGAGGACTTCAGGAAGATTTTATTTTTCTTATTCTTTTCAAGTGGTTCTCATATTTAATAGAATGTTATAGATATGAAAATAAAAGTCTCTGTAATGGATAGTTTTTTCCCCATCAAGCTCTCGGAAAGTTAGTCAACGTCTTCAAATTACATTGATGTGTCATAGTCTTAAATGACTTATATTACATGAGAACATTTGTGAATGCTAATCACTCTGTATTCTTGGGGTAAAATTTACCTTTGAAAATATAGCTTCCTGAGACAGATATTGTATATTATATTTTAAAGTGTATTTGTTACAAGTAATTTTTTTAGATTCAAAATGTGACTTCTAGATAAAGTTTCACATTACAGTAATATCTTTCTCTTCTTTCTGTCTCTACCTATGTCCATAAAACTGTTTTCTTTCTTGCATAGAGTATGAAAGCATCCTCCCAAAATCTGGAACGATTCTTACCACTGCAAAAACTACGACCATTCAGAAGCTTTGTCTCCAATTTTGATCAAATACAAGCACAGCTATCTTTGTCAAACCTTATTAATATGAAGAGAATTTCTCTTTTGGATTTGTAACCATGTGTTCATAAAATTATTTCTCTATGACTTGAGGATTTTTATTGTCAAAGAATATCTCTCACTTTACACCATTATTGCTTATTGATCTTAGTATCCATTGATTTTCCACATTGACTTTTTTTCATAAAATAATAATTCCTATCTTAATAACTAGTCCTATATAAGATGTGTAAAATCATATGTAGACAAACAATCTTTTCATACTATACAAATACCATTAGTAGTATATACTTTTTAATCAGAGTTGCAAATTGAGTATTCCATAACAAATGCTGCATATAACCATAATAAAAAACAAAGAAAATTATGAAATAAGAAATATTAAGCAAAAAGTTTCTTTCCTTGGTACAATTATAAAAAGGATTCCTCTATGGATAACCTTTTAATGAATGCTGGAGTGCAGGCTATCCCACTATTGAAACATTGGCACAAATATCTATGCCCCAAATGGATAATCCAGAGTGTAGCATAGTCAAAAATGCACCAAATCCTTTGATAATTTTTCATCTGTACCTGGTGATGTGGATGATCTGACCCTTCTTTCCTTTCCGCCCTCATGTCAGATTACTCTTTGCTTTGCTCAGGATGATCCAGACACACTGATTCCAATTCCTTGAACACACATAACTCTCTTAGCTCAGAGATTTTGACCCTGACATTTCCTCCATGACCCTGACATTTCCCCCACCTCCAACATTTTCCAAATGGCTCTTCACATGGCAGTATCTTTTAATCCTTTGGTTTAGATATCACCTCCTCAGTGAGTTTTTTGGCTATTTGAAGTATGACTCCCTATATTGATAGAGCACCTAGATTCATAGATTTCACTTCATCGGGCATTTCACAGGCATCTTCTTTCTTGCAGAATACTCACCGCAATGTGTAATTATCATCACATATTATTCAGAGGTTTATTTTCTGTCTTCTTCACTAGAATAGGATCTCCATAAGGACAGGAAATGTGTCTGTATTGATCATCGCTCTCATTCTAGTGCTTATGGAATAACTGGCACATAGTGGATATTAACATGTTTTCTGCATGTATGAATGAATCATACACTTACGCCACAGAAATAAAGTGAGTGATAGGTCTAAATGTCCCCACCCACCATCAGCTTCCAAGGATTTGACACTAAATTCTCCTTCTCTAATGTAGTCTACTTTTACTCTTTTGTTATTCTGTCTGATGTGTAATAAAATCATGACCTTTGGAGTCAGACAACAAATTACGTTTATGCTCATTTGGCAAAATAATATGATGTTAGATGTTGGTGAGCTAAATATTGATAGTACGTAAAGTAAATATTGGGCAGCTATCAGACTAGAAATGGACTTATATGTTATTATTTCTCAAATTTGTCTGTTTAATAAGATCTGGGGCTTGTTAAAAAGTAGAGATTCACAACAACCCACTCCTCTCCCAGATGGCCTGTTAGATTGACTCTCCACTTGTGACAGTTAGGAATCTGGACATTTTACAAGAATGCATTTGCTTCTGATGACTAAACACGTTTAGGGAACATGAGTAGATTTCATGCTAAAAATTTTATCCTGAAGATGTGGAGAAACAGTTAAGAAGTTTAAGCATTTTCTGGTGGCTGAATGTAGCAGTCAGGATGGAGAAGAGGCAGTGATTTGTACAATATTAGATGGGAAAAATGGAGTTGAAATTTGACCAGTGCTTAGATTTATGAGTTGTAAATCTGGGAGAGAAAAATCAGGTGGATAATAGTATCTTCCATTAAAACTGAATTTAGAGAAAGAAGATAGACTTCAGAGTAGAGCAGTGTGTGCACATATGAGTGTGTGTGTGTACCTGTGATTGGTGGTGCTTGGGGGTGGGAGGTTGGTCTATGGAAGGATAGAGTTTAGTTTGGAATACATAGATTTGAAGTGCCTGTGGAGCATTCAGTGCCAGGAAGCAGCTGGAAACATGGATCAGGGTTCTGGGGTGTGATCTGAGCTGGAGGGGTTGATAAGAGAATGGTCAGTATAGAGACAATTACTGAAGTCATTAGAGTAAATGAGACTGGGGAGGAAGAGTGTACAGAGAAAGAGAGAGAAGAGGAATGAGGACAGACACTCATGGAATCCTAATATTTAAAGGAAAGGTGGAGGGAGAAGGATCCAGAAAGGAAACTGACCAATGACCAATGATGTAGGAGGAAATCCAGGGATGAACGATGATAGGGGAAAAAATTGGAAAGGATTTTCAAAAGAAAAGTAATCACAGTATTAAATTTTGCCAAGGTTAAGTAAGGCTAGAACGCAAAATGCTCATTGCGTTTATAAACAGGAGGCTCACTAATAACATTTGCTGGTGAACTTTCAATAGACAACAACAGAATCTGATTACAATGAGTTGCAATATGTGTGAATAAGGATACAGATGTCTATGATATTCAGTTTCTCATCTATGAAGTGGATACAGTAATACCATCCCTGAAAGGCTGATGTGAGGATTAAATGAAATCACAGGTTTCTGACACGCTGTTTAGAACAAAACAGCTATCCCAAAATATTTTGAAGAAATATTTTTATTCAACATTATCAATACAAGGTGAGGGATTCCATATTAATTCAGTAAAATTCCATTCAATTTATATGAGTTAAAAGCAAAGACTCCATTAATTAATGAAGAGAGTGACTCATTTTCATAATTGTTTATTAATGAAGAGGACATAAGATGATGTTTTTGAACACATAGAATTTATAAAATTAATCTAAATAAAATATGCTAAAATCCTATCAAGAAATAATAATTTCAGTTACTTTGATATTCTGTGGGGCAAAATAATGCCCTGAAAACAAAATGGTATG